TTGCTATCCACCCTGTCTATACCTCTCATGACTTTGTAGACCTCAATCAGGTCCCCCCTCAACCTCCGTCTTTCTAATGTAAATAATCCTAATCTACTCAATCTCTCTTCATAGCTAGCGCCCTCCATACCAGGCAACATCCTGGTGAACCTCCTCTGCACCCTCTCCAAAGCATCCACATCCTTTTGGTAATGTGGTGACCAGAACTGTACACAGTATTCCAAATGTGGTCGAACCAAAGTCCTATACAACTGTAACATGACCTGCTAACTCTTGTACTCAATACCCCGTCCGATGAATGAAAGCATGCCGTATGCCTTCTTGACCACTCTATCGACCTGCGTTGCCACCTTCAGGGTACAATGGACCTGAACACCCAGATCTCTCTGTGCATCAATCTTCCCCAGGGCTTTTCCATTTACCGTATAGTTCGTTCGTGAATTGGATCTTCCAAAATGCATCACCTCACATCTGCCTGGATTGAACTCCATCTGGCATTTCTCCGCCCAACTCTCCAACCTATCTATATTCTGCTGCATTCTCCAACAGTCCCCTTCACTATCTGCTACTCCACCAATCTTAGTGTCATCTGCAAACTTGCTAATAAGACAGTCTATACCTTCCTCCAGATCATTTATACATATCACAAACAACAGTGGTCCCAACATGGATCCCTGTGGAACACCACTGGTCACAGTTCTCCATTTTGAGAAACTCCCTTCCGCTACAACTCTGTCTCCTGTTGCCCAGCCAGTTCTCTATCCATCTAGCTAGTACACCCTGGACCCCATGCGACTTCACTTTCTCCATCAGCCTACCATGGGGAACCTTATCAAACGCCTTACTGAAGTCCATGTATATGACATCTACAGCCCTTCCCTCATCTATCAACTTTGTCACTTCCTCAAAGAATTCTATCAAGATGGTAAGACATGACCTTCCCTGCACAAACCCATGCTGCCTATCACTAATAAGCCCATTTTCTTCCAAATGTAAATAGATCCTATCCCTCAGTGTCTTCTCCAGCAGCTTCCCCACCACTGACGTCAGGCTCACTGGTCTCTAATTACCTGGATTATCATGGCTACCCTTCTTAAACAAGGGGACAACATTAGCAATTCTCCAGGCCTCCAGGACCTCACCCGTGCTCATTGATGCTGCAAAGATACCTGTTAAGGCCCCAGCTATTTCCTTTCTCGCTTTCCTCAGTAACCTGAGATAGATCCCATCCGGACCTGGGGACTCGTCCACCCTAATGCCTTTTAGAATACCCAACACTTCCCCCCTCCTTATGCCGACTTGACCTAGAGTAATCAAACATCTATCCCTAACCTCAACATCCGTCATGTCCCTCTCCTCGGTGAATACCGACACAAAGTACTCATTAAGAATCTCACTCATTTTCTCTGACTCCTCGCATAACTTCCCTCCTTTGTCCTTGAGTGGGCCAACCCTTTCTCTAGTTATCCTCTTGCTCCTTATGTACGAATAAAAGGCTTTGGGATTTTCCTTAACCCTGTTTGCTGAAGATATTTCATGACCCTTTTAGCGCTCTTAATTCCTCGTTTCAGATTGGTCCTACTTTCCTGATATTCTTCCAAAGCTTAGTCTGCTTTCAGTCGCATAGACCTTATGTATGCTTCCTTTTTCCTCTTTGCTAGTCTCACAATTTCACCTGTCATCCATGGTTCCCTAATTTTGCCCTTTCTATCCCTCATTTTCACAGGGACATGTCTGTCCTGCACTCTAACCAACCTCTCTTTAAAAGTCTCCCACATATCAAATGTGGATTTACCCTCAAACAGCTGTTCCCAATCCACATTCTCCAGCTCCGGCTGAATTTTGCTATAGTTGGCCTTCCCCCAATTTAGCACTCTTCCTTTCGGACCGCTCTCGTCATTGGCCGTAAGTATTCTAAAATTGTGATCACTATTCCCAAAGTAATCCCCTACTGAAACTTCAACCACCTGGCCGGGCTCATTCCCCAACACCAGGTCCAGTTGGCTCCTTCCCGAGTTGGACTATTTACATACTGCTCTAGAAAACCCTCCTGGATGCTCCTTACAAATTCTGCTCCATCTAAACCCCCAACACTAAGTGAATCTCAATCAATGTTGGGAAAATTAAAATCTCCCATCACCACCACCTTGTTGCTCCTACATCTTTCCATAATCTGTCTACATATTCGTACCTCTATCTCACGCTCGCTGTTGGGAGGCCTGTAGTACAGCCCCAACATTGTTACCGCACCCTTCCCATTTCTGAGCTCTGCCCATATTGCCTCACTGCTTGAGTTCTCCATAGTGCCCTCCTTCAGCACAGCTGTGATATCCTCTTTGACCAGTAATACAACTCCTCCACCCCTTTTACCTCCCTCTCTATCCCGCCTGAAGCATCCATATCCTGGGATATTTAGTTGCCAATCTTGCCCTTCCCTCAACCAAGTCTCAGTAATAGCAATAACATCATACTCCCAGGTACTAATCCATGCCCTAAGTTCATCTGCCTTACCTACTACACTTCTCGCATTAAAACAAATGCACCTCAGACCACCTGTCCCTCTGCATTCATCATCTGCTCTCTGCCTACTCTTCCCCTTAGTCACACTGACTTCATTATCTAGTTCCTTACAGGCTTTAGGTACTACCTCCTTACTGTCCACTAACCTCCTCATTTGGTTCCCATCCCCCTGCCACATTAGTTTAAACCCTTCCCAACAGTGTTAGCAAAAGCAGCCCCTTGGACATTGGTTCCAGTCCTGCCCAGGTGTAGACCATCCAATTTGTATTTGTATTCTGAAATGATACCTTCTGGTCCTAGACTCTTCCACAAGAGGGACAACCTTTCCATAATTGTCAAATCCCTTCAGAATCTTGTACATTTCAATAAGGTCACCTCTCATTCTTCTACATTTCAACGAGTACAGGCTCAACCTCTTCCCAAAACACAGTCCTTCCATCCCCGGGATCAGCCGAGTGAACCTTCTGTGGACTGCCTCCAATGCCAGTCTCTCTTTCCTTAGATAAGGGACCCAAACTGTTCACGGTATTCCAGCCGTGGGTCTGACTGTGCCTTGTACAGTTTTAGCAAGACATCACCCTTTTTTGATGCTCCATTTCCTTTGAGTTAAGAGGCCAACATTCCATTTGTGTTCTCCTTTACCATTTTTCCCTTGAATGAGACTCTAGAACTAGGGGACATCGTTAGGAGGCTCCCATTTAAGATGGGGAACAAAGTCGAGCATGTTTGGAACACACTCACCTGACAGCGGTAGATGTAGGGTCATTGAATATTGTTAAGGCAGAGGTGGGTAGATTCTTGGAGAGAGACTAAAGAACCTGCAGATGCTGGAATCCAAGGTAGACAAACAGGAGGCTGGAAGATCACAGCAGGCCAGGCAGTATCTGGAGGAAAGGAGCAATCAACGTTTCAGGTATTACCCTTCTTCAGGTAGGTTCTTGTCTAATAAGGGACACACTGGTTACTGGGGGTAGTCAAGAAAGTGGAGTTGGCGGTTATTAGATCAGCCACATTGAGTGGCTAACTCCTGCTCCTAATTGTACGTTTCCCTCAGGATTGTTCAGCAAGTACTGCCTAATTGCAAAATCACGTCTAACAGATGTTTTGCTTTGGGCTTTGCAAACACAGGCTGGCTGGCTACAGTCAGTAAACTGTTTATTCTGAACAACCAAAGCAGCACCCTTTTTGATTCGATCAGGAAGCCAGTGGGAATGTAAAGCCTATATCCCTGACATTGCAACAGGACTGAACGTCATCAGGTGTTACTGCTCAGTTGTGACTTTGCTGTTTGACAGCCGCAGCGGCACCAGGTTGTTCACAGAACATAGAACATTACAGCACAGTACAGGCCCTTCGGCCCTCGATGTTGCGCCGACCTGTGAAACCAATCTGAAGCCCATCTAACCTAAACTATTCCATTATCATCCATATGTTTATCCAATGACCATTTAAAGGCCCTTAAAGTTGGCGAGTCTACTATTTTTGCAGGCAGGGCATTCCACGCCCTTACTACTCTCTGAGTAAAGAACCTACCTCTGACATCTGTCCTATATCTATCACCCCTCAATTTAAAGCTATGTCCCATCGTGCTAGCCACCACCATCCGAGAAAAAAGGCTCCCACTGTCCACCCTATCCAATCCTCTGATCATCTTGTATGTCTCTATCAAGTCACCTCTTAACCTTCTTCTCTCCAACGAAAACAGCCTCAAGTCCCTCAGCCTTTCCTCATAAGGCCTTCCCTCCATACCAGGCAACATCCTGATAAATCTCCTCTGCACCCTTTCCAATGCTTCCACATCCTTCCTATAATGCAATACTCCAGAGTTTTGTACAGCTGCAACATGACCTCATGGCTCCGAAACTCAATCCCTCTACCAATAAAACCTAACACACCGTACGCCTTCTTAACAACCCTAACAACCTGGGTGGCAACTTTCAGGGATCTATGCACATGGACACTGAGATCTCTCTGCTCATCCACACTACCAAGAATCTTACCATTAGCCCAGTACTCTGTATTCCTGTTACTCCTTCCAAAGTGAATCACATCACACTTTTCCGCATTAAACTCCATTTGCCACCTCTCAGCCGAGCTCTGCAGCTTATCTATGTCCCTCTGTAACCTGCAACATCCTTCCGCACTATCCACAACTCCACCGACTTTAGTGTCATCCGCAAATTTACTAACCCATCCTTCTACGCCCTCATCCAGGTCATTTATAAAAATGACAAACAGCAGTGGCCCCAAAACAGATCCTTGCAGAACACCATTCAGGAACACCACTCGTGTCAGTGAGGCTTAGGAGCAGCTCAAAGCTCAGAGACACTGTCCAGGGTCAACTGAGGGAGACCAGGCCCTGTCCAAAGATAAAAGTGAGGAACTCTGTCCTGAACCGAGACTGTGTGATATATAATGAGCTCTCGCCCATCCTCATTGTCTATCCCAGCACTGAGCAGGATTAGACAACCACAGATCAGTGTCAGTGAACACATTTATTTATTTATTTGCATTTGTTTCCACGTTCACAAAGAGCAGGAGGCCATTTAGACCAGTGTCTTAATGCTGGTTCCTGCTCTTTCCCTGGATGTCTTTGTTCAGCTGTTAACACAGAATAGAGAATTGCCCTGGCATGAGGACCTGTTCAAATGGGTTTTTGTTAAGTTAATTGTGGTAACCAGTCATTCAGAATGGAATCAGTAATGCAACTCTGTATCAGGAAGTCCGCTCTGGAGTCTGTGAACTACAGAATAGAGAAAAATAAATCAACCCTGCATCTCAGTAGAAAAGGCATTTTATAAATAAGGGCAATGAAACAGACAGTGACCTCAGGGCCTAGTGTCAGAACAGATGACACTGAGAGAGAGTCAGAATTCCCATCATTCACTGCCTTTCTTATCCATCAACCTGAAGCTGAGGGGCCTCATCCAGGACTGTCCTGTTGAGATGGCCAAGTGGATGGGTGAGTCTCTCTCTCTCTCTCTCTCTCCCTGACCTCTGGCACCATTGCTGTGTGCCAGGCCTCGGTTTTATCGATTTCTGCGTTTCGCTGTCCTGCCCTGGCTGCTGCTGGTTGGGCAATGCTGTGCTGTCGCATGTCCCGTCGCCTTCAGGTGTTCAAATAGCTTGTTCCTCGACGCAAACTCCGAGCTGCATGTTGCACAAATCGTGGTCTCCTACAGACACAACACATTACACGTTACTGCCTCAAATTCCTCAAGTCAGTTCCCACCCAAAACTCTCCCACTGCTCCAGGTACACAGCGAGGGAAATAGCACCCACAGGTGGGCAGACAGCTCGATTACTAAATTAATTAAATCAGTCAACTTTGCACAAGCTGTTGCGGATATCACATCTGGAATGAGGCACAGCCTGAGGGTACGTTTATTTCTGGGACAAAAACACAAGTTGCTGGAAAAGCCGATCAGGTCTGGCCGCATCTGTGGCGAGAAAGCAGAGTTACCGTTTGGATCAAGTGACCCTTCACAACAGTTCAGAAGGGTCACTAAACACCAAACATTAATTCTGATTCCTTTCCACAGACGCTGCCAGACGTGCTGAGATTTTCCAGCAATTTCTATTTCTGTTTCTGATTTCCAGCACCCACAGTTCTTTTGGATTTATTGTGTATTTCTGGGATTTTGGAGCAGCATGGGAATTTAGTGCAGTGGGGAATAGGTGCTTTTTGCTTTGTTTTAGTTTGTAAGGTTTTTTTTAACAGGATAAACTGCAGCCAGGAGTAGGAGGCCCAGCAAAAAACAAATCATGATATCACAGGAAAACTGAGTTCAATGGTGGGTGATAGCTACTAATTTGACTATTAGAAGTCACACTCAGATTGAAGGTAAATAGGAGAAATATTTTTCAGATGAAAGCCAAAAGACCAGCATGGAATTTAATATAAAACAACTTAAGAACTAAGTAATTAAAAC